AGGAGCGAGGAGAGAAGAGAGATGAGAGAGGAGAGAGAAGAGAGGAGGAGAGATGAGGAAGAGGAGGAGGAGGAGGAGGAGGAGGAGGAGGAGGAGGAGGAGGAGGAGGAGGAGGAGGAGGAGGAGGAGGAGAGAGTGGAGGAGGAGGAGAGAGTGAAGGAGGAGAAGGAGGATGCGGAGGCGGAGGCGGAGGCGGAGGCGGAGGCGGAGGAGGAGGAGGAGGAGGAAGAGGAGGAGGATCGGCACGGACACAAATCGGAAACTGGAACATATACAGCTCCGGCGTGTGAAGTCGGGCACGTCCTTCTACAGGAGGAAGATTCCCAAAAAGTCGAACAATAGTATCCGGGACGATCCTTGGAGATTTCTGGGCCATTTTTGCATTTTTGTTTTTTGCTACTGTTTGCGTTTCTTCCAACATCCGCCTGTGGGAGGACACGCCCGACCTAGTACCAGTGGCGGGCGGTTTTTCAATCCCAGGACTTTTTGAGGGTCGAGGACGACGTCGGGGTGGTGTGGTGCACGTGTACTTGTTTCCCTGCTTTCGCAGGGAACCAGCGAAAATCGCACACGCCAGGTTCCCGTATACACCAGGATCCGCTTCCTTTTGAGAGTTTCAGTGCGGGGCCGGGGAAAGCGTCGGTGTATTTAGTTACAGAGCTCGGCTCCTGAAAAAAGCACATCGTCCGAGACCTGGAGTCGCTCGCGACGACCTTGGGTGTACGCCAGCACTGGCGGTGGTCACCGAGGCTCTGCTCCGAGAGGGGGGGGGAGCGGTCTGCACGGCGGTGGAGCACTTCCTGCGGGGCGGGCCAGGTGCGCGACGGAGGGAAACGGGGCCGTCTTCACCGACATTGGCGCGTGAGCTGCCTGCGTAAGGTCGCGCGTAATTAAGCGCCCTCGCTGCCAACACGTGCGGCGCGCCGCGCTGGACGGCCGCGCAAGCCACCGCGCGAGGTCGCCGCGCCACCTCGCGTAAGACTCTGTTTTTTTTGTCGCCCAGGCGTTCGAGCCGCGCTCCTGCCAGAAGAGGCCGTGGCGGTGCTCCGCGCCTCAGGCCTCGCCGTCGCCGCACACCCGAAGCTGAGGTTTCCGAAGGAGCTCCCGAGCGGCGAACGACGACGACGATGACGACGACAACGGTTCGCCAAGGAGGGTCCCAAAAGAATTCCGTATCCGCACCTTCGCGGTCTGGATTCTGGGGGGCGATCCCGCGGATGCGCAGTCGCGCGGATGCGTTCCGAGCGGGGCATCCGCGAAGAGGCGCCCCGTATCCGCGGGGTCGCGGTTCAAGGGCCAGGCCCGCGAGGCCGCGGATACAGATAATTTTGTCGCCCACGAGGAGTACGACTTGTTCAGACTTGTTGATCTCGACAAAGAAAGCAGGGCATACACATAAATCGTCAGAGGTCCATGCGGATCTGTTGGATCGGCGCTGGGCCCCCCCTAGCGGCGCCTCGGACAAACTCCGCACGCCAGGGAGGCGGGGTCTCAGCGCCGATCCAAGAAATCCCCTCCTCTTTCTCCTTCTCCTTCTCCTTCCTCCTCCCTCCCTCCTCCTCCCTCCTCCTCATCCTCATCCTCATCCTCATCCTCATCCTCCTCCTTCCTCCTCTTCCCTCCTCCTCCTCCTCCTCCGCCCACTCCTCCTCCTCTCCTCCTCTCCTCTTCCTACCTCCCGGTCCTCTCTCTTTTCTCCTCCTCTTCCTCCTCCTCCTCCTCCTCCTCCTCCTCCTCCTCCTCCTCCTCCTCCTTCTCCTCCTCCTCTGCGCGCTCCGCGCCCGGCCGCTGTGGTGCCCAGTGGGCCGAGCCGCGGCCGTCGAAAGTGCGATGATCTTCAGGACGTGTGTCAGTCCAATGCGTGTAAACCCCCTCCGGCCAAACCAGTAGATCACTACATCGGCTGCGTCGTATCGAAGGGCCTCGATGGACAGACACACGTTGGGGCTAGCACGCGTTCTGAGGACCCTCGAGAGTCTGGGTCGCCCCCAGGCGCGCGAGGATAATCGCGCCTCGCGGCCTCGGCTGGAGAGGCGCCCCACTGCCGAGCGAGGGCGGGAGTGCGCGAAACTACCCGTGCGTCGCGCCTCGCGGGGCGCGGTGCGCGAAGTTGCAGTCAACCAGCATAATAAGGCCTTACCATGGGGGACTGCCCATAACCATTATGTATATATAAGTACCCTCCTCCCTCCTCCTCCTCCTCCCCTCCTTCCTCTCCTCCCTCCTCCCCTTCCCTCCTCCTCCTCCTCCTCCTCCTCCTCCTCCTCCTCCTCCTCCTCCTCCTCCTCCTCCTCCTCCTCCTCCCCCTCCCCCTCCCCGTCCCCCTCCCCCTCCTCCTCCTAGGTGGCTCTCGCGCGGGCCCCGCAGGCATTTTGCCCTCGGCGCGGGCGCCCGCCGAGCGATAGCCCCCAGCCCCACGGAGGGGCGACCCCGCGCTGCTGCAGCGCGCTCCCGCTCGCCAGCCTGGCACCGCAGGGAGCGGCGCCAGAGGAGCGCGACCAGAGACCGCACGGCAGTGCCGCCCCAGGATGCAGGCGCCCACGACATGGACCACCTGCAAGCGATGCAAGGAGTGGTCGGGGCACGCCACGCTCAAGAGAAACGACTACTGGTGCAGCTGCGGAACCCGCGTCGCCAGGCCCAAGAAGGGAGGCGGCCAAGACTCCAGCAGCAGCAGCGGGTGGTGGCGACAGCAACCCATCGGCAACGGAGGCGCGAGATCAGCTGCTGGAGGCAGAGGTCGCTGGCAGGACAACGACGCCACCTCCGACGCTTCCCCCACCGAGCAGTGCGTCGCCAGGCTCGCCACAGCGCTGCGGACGGTGACAGAATCCATCGGCTCGCTGAAGCTGCCCAACGGTGAGGACATCGCGAAGCGGGTGACGCACGCGGCCGACACGCTCAACGCTCCCGGGAAGGAGAAGCCGCCCAATTCCAAGGCGGCGCGCCTCGCGGAGGCGGCGAAGGCGCTCGACTCCGCGACCCGCACCTACAATTGGGCGTACGAGCAGACGGTGCTGGCCGAAGCGAAGGCGACCAATGCCCGCGAGAAGTTGCAGGAGTGCGCGGACGCAGTCGTCCACGCCGAGGCCGAGATCGAGGCCATCCAGAACGAGGGCAAGCAGAAGGCACCGAAGAGCATCTTCGAGCAGCTGCTGGACACGGACGCCGACCTGCTTTCGCCCAGCGACGTGCAGATCGCCGAGGTCGAGGACGAGTTCCACCAGGCGAAGAACTCGACGCCGAGGGCAAGAAGGCCGTGGTCGAGGCCAAGAGACAGGTGCTCGAGCAGCTGCAGCGCAACACCAGGGAGTTCGCTGCCCAGCTGAAGCAGCACCTCCAGGACGCCAAAGCCAAGGCCGAGCAGGAGCGGGCCGAGATCCAGCAGGCCTACAAGAAGCGGAAGGCGGAGCAGCACACGACGGGACAGGCCGCAGACGAGCCAACCGCCGCTGCTCCATCAACCGCAGGTGCCTCTGGATCTGCGGCCCAGCACGACAACGACGCCCACGACAGCAAGGTACCAGCCGCTGCGGAGGACTACCTCCGACAGCGGCGGGACGCGGCGGCCTCGGCCGAGGCCTCCGCATCCCGCTGAGGGTCAGGGCGCGGTGGGAGACGGCAGTTCGGCGACGACTCCCACCACGAGCGCCGCATATTCAGCGCCAACATCACGACCTGGGGCCCCGCGGTGTTGAGCTGGCTAAGACGAGACGGAGTACGGCAGCCCTACGGCGTCTACGCCATCCAGCAGACCCACCTGCCCCGGGCCCAGCTCGCGGACACGGAGCACTCGCTGCAGAAGATGGGCTTCTCAGCAGTGTTCACCGCGGCGCGCGCCAGCGCGAACAGCCTCAGTGGAACTTGCGGAGGCACGGGGGTCCTCGCCAAGGGCCGCCTCGAGGCAACGACACACCGGCATCGGGGGGAACGTACCGACGTCTCGGACGCCACCACCTACGACGCCGACGACACCCACGCCACCTACCGCATGTGCGACTGGACGCCAGTCACTCTGCGAGGCTCCCGACTCCTCATCATCTGCCTTTACCTCGACCCGTGCCATTCCCTCAACGTCGGCGAGAACTCCAGGAAGGTGACGTCCCTGGCCGCCTTCCTCGCCACCACGCACGCGCCGTGGATCATCTGCGGCGACTTCAATCGCTCCTACGCCGACCTGGCGCAGCCAGGCTGGACCACAGCCCTCGGCGCCACCGCCTACGTGGGACTCGACGACAACCAGCGTGCGTGCTACCTCGGCGACGCGAGGCCCTCCAACATCGACTGCGCGCTCGTCGACGAAGGAGGCTAAGGAGGGCAAAGACCCGCGCGAGGAATGCAACCAGTGCACGACGGACCATGGAAGCCGCACATCGGGATCGACATCACTATTCGAGCGGACACAGACTCCAACCTCGCCCGAAGACTGCAGATGCCGAAGGCTTTCCCGCGCCCTGCCCCACCCACCAAGCAGCCAACCACCGCCAAACGCCAAAAGAAGAAGCGCCCCAAGACTCAAGCAACGACACCCCCACGGCCACCACACGACCAAGACCAGACCGACGCCAGCCGCTGGGAAGCTCTTGGGCCGCAAGGTTGGCACCACCACCCACGAGACACCACAACAACAACGACATCGACCCCGACATTCACACAACAGCCGCAGCACCGACGAACCACCATGGATGGGGAAGACCAGGACCCTATGGAGGAAGACGACGCTGCGGACTACCTCGGCGAATCCGAACCCGAACACGAAGGCCACTACCCACACTACTCCCACGCCGTCATCGACAACACGCATGATCCGGAGGTGTACGCACATGTTGCAGCAGAAGCTCAAAAGGCCCACGCCAGCGACATGGACTACACCGACGACCACGAGAATTCAGCGCTGCCCAACGACCTGGACTGCGACGGGGCCCAAAGGGCACCCGAGCAGAAACCATTACTTGAGCAGCTCACCGAACGAGCAAACGGCACCGACACCAGGACGCCTGACGACACCTGGACCGCTGCCAGCATGCTCGACCACGGACCCGACAGCCCAGCCCCCACATACATCCGACAATGCGCAGCGTACCAAGCTGATCCGACCAGCGCAGATCTGCTTGGCGCAACCTACCAGCACTTCATCAGCACGGCCGAGACGTTCTTCTGCCTCGCCTACCACATTCCCTTAGAAGACCGACAACGCTTCCGAGAACGGGGACGGGGCTATGCATTCAAGGAACCACTACTACGAGAACTAGGTGACCATCAACTCAGATACGCATCCCACAGATCCGACTGGTGGAGCCGCGTGGAGAACGTCCTCAGTACCCTCGCTAATTTTCGCCGACGCGATCGCGGACAACAGCAACAAGTCTGCCTACATGCGGCAGGACGCCGTCTAGTACGCGAAGGTCTACCACCACTCGGACGAGACGCATCACCCACCGCCCAGCTCCACCACCAGCTATGGAAGGATAGACTAATGCACTCGGGCGCTCTGCCCCTACAGACCCACCCTACAGGGCATGGCCCAACAAACTTTCAGCGAAAAGAGCCAAGCCCTATTTACGGACCTCCGACAAAACCACCGCGAGTACAGCAATTGGCTAGCCACCGCCTGCAAAACACCAGCCATCCTCCACAAGATCACCAAGCCACCACCACGACGCGAAGACGAAATGGTACACCAGGGCAAGGTACTCAGCAGCCCGCCAGACATCGTCGACGCCAAGGCCGCCGTCTTCAACGACATTTGGACCTGCCACGACGTACCGCACAGCCGCCACACCTCACGACTATCTGACCTCCGACAACGAGCGGAACGGGAGGAACCACCAGCACCCTGGACCATCGACGACCTTGACCGTTGCCTCCGCGGGGAGCCAGACAAGGGTAATGGCGTTGACGTCAGCAGGTGCAGCGACATCAGACGGCTACCACGAGCTGGACGACAAGCCCTTGCCGACCTTTTCAACCTCTGCGAACAGCACATGATGTGGCCATGGCAGCTACTGCTCTCCATCGCCATGATCATCCCCAAGCCCAATAATGGCGACCGCGCGCTCGCCCTCCTGCCACAACTATTCCGCCGCTGGGAACTATTGCACCGAGACCGCGCCCGACGATGGGCAGTGGACCAGCAACGAGAACGGGACGCCGCCATAGCGCACAACAGTTGCCTACGTGAAGCACTACGCCGCCTCATCACCGACGAATGCGCCGACACCTTCGACATGACTGGGACCATCCTGCTAGCGGACATCGGGAAGTTCTACGACAGCCTTCGCATCGACAAAACCGTGCCAGCTGCGCTACGACTACAATCCCCTGCCCGACTGCTCTACCTCATGATGCTCCAGCACTCAGCCGCTCGAGTACTGCGACGCCAAGGATCCTACTCCAGGGCGACCTACGCGGACCGCTCCATCCTGGCAGGCTCCAGGCACGCCAGCAACATCGCACGCGCAGTCGTGTGCGCCGCCATGGCGACCCTCACCGACACCAGCACCCTACCACGACCACTACCTCGAGCATGGTTCGATGACATCAGCATCCACATAGTAGGCAGCAGAACACACGACAACCGCCACCGTCGCATCAACGCATCGCCTATTCCTAGCACTACAGGAGCAGGGACTACGATTGGCCGACAAAACTACCTTCATGACCACGCACTACAAAGACACCAATAAGATCCAACAGCAGCTCCGCGACCTCCACATCGACGTCCAAGCAGCCACAGAAGGGCGAGACCTGGGCGCAGATCGTGCAGCACGCGGTACTACTAGACGCCCCACACATTCAACAAGATGGGCAGCAGCACGCCGGCGCCTACGCGCAGTCCGTGGCAAACTACGACGACCCCGCACCTCCACCAAAGCCAGCCTGGTGAACCAGGGCGCGATGGCCTCCGCGAAGTACGGCGTCGCCTTCCACGGCCTGGCCCCCACTGCGCTACGTGCAGCACGACGCCGATGCGCCCAGGCACTGCGTCGCCTTTGGCCTGGACGCTGCTTCACCACATTCCTGGACCTGGAAGGGGCCGACCCCGCCTACACCTTCGCGAGCACGCAGTTCTCCAACTGGTTCGGATGCTGGACGTGCGCGCGCAAATCAGACGCGCCTGGCCCAGAATCTATCTCCGACTGCTCAAGGTGCCTGCTCACTGCCGCTGGGACCAGAGACGCGGCCCCATCGCAGCCATCATCTTGGCGCTATGGGAGCTCGGCTGGGACTCCCGCGGGCCAGGCCGCTGGGTCGACAGCGCAGGCAACGACTTGAAGTTTCCCCGCGCGGACGCCCAAGACACCAAAGACATCCTAGACGACATCATGCACGACGCCAGGCAGCAGCTCTGGAGGACCGCAGCGACCCACTACCACGGCGGAGGCCTCGAGCACAACTGCGCTGACACCGCAGAGCTCAAGCGACACCTGCAATGGCCCCGAACACGCGACAAGCACCGCGAATACGGAGCATTCCTCACCGCTGCCTGCGCGGGAACGTGGACCCGCACTAGGCAGCAGACGACACTCGGCCATGGCAACCACCTATGCGAATGCGGGCAGCCAGACACCGACTACCACCATCTGGGAACGATGCAGCTGCCGAGGAGACGACGGCATTTACGACAAAACTGACAGGCGGCAAGCCCGCGCTGCCGCGGGTCACCAAACCACCCCAGCCTTCTGGCTCAGGGGCATCACCCCGCGAGATTGGTCAGCACCACCAGATTCAGCCGAGTCAGCATCCAACATGGGCGAGCTCACCCAAGCCGACAAGATCTGCACCAACGACGGGGCGCCCTTGGTAATCTACGGCGACGGCTCAGGCGGGGAACACTCCTCCGACTGGCGTTACCGAAGATGCGGATGGGCGTGGCTAAGACATGGCAGCACACACGACGGTGGCTTCAATGTTACGGCAGCACGATGCGGCCCACTACCCTCCCGACGACGAACGAACAATCGGGCAGGCTTCTGGGCACTACTGGATGCGATCAAGCACGCCACTGGCGCCATGCACTTCTGGACGGACAGCGCGATCACATTCAAGGGCTGGCGAGACCGACGGCGCCAACTACAGTCCCACACGGGCAGCAACGACGACCTCTGGGAGGCCATCGGCAAAGAGCTTGCGCACCGCGACGAGCAAGGGCCAGTTCACATCGAAGTCCACCACATCAACAGCCACCTGACCTGGGAGGAAGCGCAAGGCCGAGGTTTCTACATGCATGGTTTGGAGACGCACAAGTGTATCGTCTTGCAGAGCAAGCCGCCGCAGAGCACCAACTGGACGCGGGCCAGCTCGGTTGCTACCAGTGGGTCAACGCCACCGCCGCCCTCATCCGCAAGCGCATTACCGCCGCCACGATCGACGCCATCGACAGACGCCCATCAGAAGCACACGAAGTACGCGCTGCACGACGAGCTCAGCAGCAAGAGCACCGCAAGCAACTCAGACGAAGACGGGATTATTTCGCAGATGGACCACCACACCCAGTTGGCAAGCGCCCACCCACCACCCACAACCTGGCCAGGCCCCGACGGGGAAAGGGTTGGGTGTGCACCTGCTGCACGCAGCGTGTCGGACGAGACACCAGCTTCGCAGCAATACGAGATTGGTTCCAACAACAATGCACACGACCACCACCGCGACAAGGACGAGCTATCACCCAGCACGGACGCACGGCTCACGACAGCCACGAGCTGATGTTCATCCGAGCGGAATCCCGCTGGGTATGCCGCCGCTGCGGTGCCTCCACCACCGAGTATGTTGCGGAGAAGATGCGCACGGAATGCACACGCCGCACTGGATACCGCAGCTTACACTACAAGCTCCTGAAATGGACAGAGCTCGCCGACAACGACCAGGACGGACACGACGAAACCAGCACAGCCACCAGCCAGGAGCGACGCGACCCAGCACCTGGCAGCGACCAAACCAGCACGACGCCCAGCGACGGCAGCCACGAGCCACCAGAGATGCAGACCAACGAACCCCCACAGACACCACCAAGGACGCAAGCCGTTTGCTGCAACGGCGTGGAGTGGGGAGGACGAGTACTCCCCGCGTCCACCAGAAGGGGCGGTCAGGGGACGTCAGCGAGGAGATGCATTTGAAGGCCCTCGTCCGCGCTCCCCGACCGCTCCACAGCAGCCCTACCACCACCAGGACATGCTCATCGAGCAGCCACCACTCCAATGCGACGAGCAGCAAGCCTGCGTGCAACAACCTCAACGACCCACGACAGCCGAAGCGACTGCATCGTGCATTGACGAGGAACGCCGCAGGCAATGGGTCCGCAGGCTCCTCTACGCCGCCAGCCGACCGATCGAAGAACAGCACGACGGCGACCAGCAGCAACACGCCCAGCTGCACCACGCCACCGAGCACCACCGAGACCAGCACGACAAAGAAGACCACCAGCACCATGCCGCCCAACACCATCGCGACGCCCACGGCCGCGCTGGATTGGAGGGGCCTAGTACTGCCACCTTCCTTGGAAGGCACGCCGCGAGGGGTGCTGGGGGAGGCCTCCCCGAGGGTGCCTCGCGAGGTGCTGAGGATCTCGGGGGTGGAGCGCGGACGCCACAGAGGACGCGCTCGGCCGCCTTGCTCCACGCGCCTCCGCAAGACGCGCGTGGAGAAGGGGGCGGCCCTCAGGGGCGCGGCCCCCTAGAGCGGTTGGCCCGCGCGCGGCGCGCGCCACGCGGCGGGGAGCCGCGGCGGAAGGAAGAGACTGCCTGCGGCAGAGGGGAATCTCGCGGGAATATCCCCCTCCTCCTCCTCCTCCTCCTCCTCCTCCTCCTCATCATCATCATCATCATCATCATCATCATCATCATCATCATCCTCATCCTCCTCCTCCTCCTCCTCCTCCTTCTCCTCCTCCCTCCTCCTCCTCCTCCTCCTCCTCCTCCTCCTCCCTCCTCCTCCTCCTCCTCCTCCTCCTCCTCCTCCTCCTCCTCCTCCTCCTCCTCCCCCTCCTTGCATCCTTGCCTCTTCGGCCCCTCCTTCGCAACTTTCGTGGGCCGCCCCCCGCCCGAGAAGCTCCGAGGTGGGCGCCCGAGGCCCCTGCGCGTCCTCTTCGCGCATCCTTCTGCCACCGGCCGACGGTGCCCGCGCGTGGCGCCTCGCGGGGCGCGGGGCGCAAAGTTCGGTGACCTGGGGGGCCCTCGAAAGTGAAGCAGGGGAACGAACAATGGCATAAAGCAAGAAAGCTCGGAGGTCAGAGTTTTTATGGTTGTGTCATTGCGATCGTTTTTTATTCATTATTTTGCCGATCGGCGCGGAGGTCCGAAAACTCGGACTGATGGCATAAAGCCTGAAAATTCGGAGGTCCGCGCGGACTTCTCGGATCGGCGCTGGACCCCCCTTCCCCGGCGCGCTCCGCGCGCCAGGGGCGGCGCCGGAGGCGCCGCCAGGGGGCTCCTGCACCGATCCGAGAAGTCCGCGCGGACCTCCGAGTTTTTATGCTTGTGTCATTGTGATCGTTTTTTTTACTAATTGTTTTGCCGATCGCGCGGGCCCCCCTCCCCCCCTCCCGTTCCCACCCCATGGAGTAGATCTTGGCTGTTTTTTGGCCCTGTTTCGAGCGGGTGGAGTCTCCCCAAGAGGTAGCACTGCTGCAAACAGTCGCACTAAGCAGAGGTCCGGAGCCAGACCCCCCCCCTCCCCCCCCCTTCCGCCCAACGTCGAAACGCCGAGTGACAAAAACGCTCACCTTTATGTTTGTGTCATTGTTCGTTTCCCGATTTATGCTCATGCCGCTTGTTCTTGGTCGTTGGTCCCAGCCGCGTCGTCTCGGGGGGCCTGTGCCTCCGCAGGGCCCCCAGCACCGCTGGGGGCTTTGCTGTCGTGGTGGCCGGCAGCGCCGGTGCGTGGCAGCGGGCTGGGCGGAGCAGCTGCGGCCCGGAGGGAGAGCTCTGCTGCGGAGGCCCTTGCCAAGAAACACCCTTGCCTCCTCCTCCTCCTCCTCCTCCTCCCTCCTCCTCCTCCTCCTCTCCTCTTCCTTCTCCTCCTCTCCTCCTCCTCCTCCTCCTCTCCCTCTCTCTCTCCTCCTCCTCCTCCTCCTCCCCCTCCCCGTGCCAATGCTGTTCTATACTCCTCTGGGGGAGTCGGCTGGGGACGCACGGGGCGCCACTAAGGGCGTGGATTCCCCACGCCCGACGAGCACCCCAGCCGAGCCCCCAGGGGAGTGGACAGCGGGGCGACAGTGGCAAGAGGCACGCTCAAGTGCCCTCCCAGCACAAGGAGGATGCGTCGCCCTAGACCGGACCTCCTCCAGCAGTGCTTATATTGCCCACCTTGCAGGTTCGGGTCGGAGAGCCACAGGCCCCGCCTGGGTGGTCACCCTGGGGGAACACGTTTCGCCAGTGACAGTCTAAGCATGGCCTTCCTGAGCGTGGTCGACACCAGCTGCCGGTCGGCTCCGCCAGATGGTCTCAACGAGGCAGCCAGAGGAATTATCCTCCAGGAGCCTGCCAGCAATACTGGCGATCCTACACACCTTCGTTAGGAGGCATGCGCCTCCATGACACTGCCTGGAGAAAATGCCGGCGCTCGTTTTGTCAATTTCCATTCGGACAAGTCGGAGTGTCGTCATTCACACTATGTCTAGTGGGACCCCGCCGGTTTGTGTGAATCTTTAGATTCGGCACTTTACTTCAGTCGCGAGGCAGTTGCCTCAAGGACGCAGCCGGCGGCAAGGCCTGTAGTCCTGCACACCCATACGCGTCCCCCTCATCCCCTCTCCTCCCTCCATATTCCGCCACCCCCCGGCGGCCAGACCGGGCCACGTGCATCCTCAGACCCTGCGCGCTGGCCCTTGTCGCGAGGCAGTTGCCTCAAGGACGCAACCGGCGGCAAGGCTGGTAGTCCTGCGCACCCTTACCTGTGCCCTTCATCCCCTCTCTTCCCTCCATACTCCGCCACCCCATGGCGGCCAGACTGGGCCACGTGCATCCTCAGACCCTGCGCGCTGGCCCTTGTTGCGAGGCAGTTGCCTCAAGGACGCAACTGGCTGCAAGGCCGGTAGTCCTGCACACCCATGCGCGTCCCCCTCATCCCCTCTCCTCCCTTCATATTCCGCCACCCCCTCCTGGCGGCCAGACCGGGCCACGTGCATCCTCAGACCCTGCACGCTGGCCCTTGTTGCGAGGCAGTTGCCTCAAGGACGCAACCGGCGGCAAGGCCAGTAGTCCTGCACACCCATACGTGTCCCCATCATCCCCTCTCCTCCCTCCATATTCCGCCACCCCCTGGCGGCCAGACCGGGCCACGTGCATCCTCAGATCCAGTACGCTGGCCCTTGTCGCGAGGCAGTTGCCTCAAGGACGCAACCGGCGGCAAGGCCGGTAGTCCTGCACACCCTTACGTGTGCCCCTCATCCACTCTCTTCCTTCCATATTCCGGCACCCCCTGGCGGCCAGACCGGGCCACGTGCATCCTCAGACCCTGCACGTTGGCCCTTGTCGCGAGGCAGTTGCCTCAAGGACGCAACCGGCGGCAAGGCCGGTAGTCCTGCACACCCATACGCGTCCCCCTCATCCCCTCTCTTCCCTCCATACTCCGCCACCCCATGGCGGCCAGACCGGGCCACGTGCATCCTCAGACCCTGCACGCTGGCCCTTGTTGCGAGGCAGTTGCCTCAAGGACGCACCCGGCGGCAAGGCCGGTAGTCCTGCACACCCATACGCGTCCCCCATCATCCCCTCTCTTCCCTCCATACTCCGCCACCCCATGGCGGCCAGACTGGGCCACGTGCATCCTCAGACCCTGCACGCTGGCCCTTGTTGCGAGGCAGTTGCCTCAAGGACGCAGCCGGCCGCAAGGCTGGTAGTCCTGCACACCCTTACCTGTGCCCTTCATCCCCTCTCTTCCCTCCATACTCCGCCACCCCATGGCGGCCAGACCAGGCCACGTGCATCCTTGCCTCAAAAGGGAAGCAAACTGGCGCAAGGCCGGTAGTTCGCAAACTACATTGCGTATCTCCTCATCCCTCCTCCTCCCTTCCATATTCCGCACCCCCATCCTGCGGCACAGACCCGGGAGGAGTGCATTCCTCAGACCCTGCACGATGGCCTTTCCCTCGCGCAGTTGCCTCAAGGGACGCAACCGGCGGCCAAGGCCGGTGGTAGTCCGCACACCATACGTATCCCCATCAGCCCCTTCATCCCTCCATATTCCGCCACCCCCTGGCGGCCAGACCGGGCCACGTGCATCCTCAGACCCTGCACGTGGGCCTTGTCGCGAGGCAGTTGCCTCAAGGACGCAACCGGCGGCAAGGCCGGTAGTCCTGCACACCCTTACGCGTCCCCCTCATCCCCTCTCCTCCCTCCATATTCCGCCACCCCCTGGCGGCCAGACCGGGCCACGTGCATCCTCAGACCCTGCACGCTGGCCCTTGTCGCGAGGCAGTTGCCTCAAGGACGCAACCGGCGGCAAGGCCGGTAGTCCTGCACACCCTTACGTGTGCCCCTCATCCACTCTCTTCCTTCCATATTCTGGCACCCCCTGGCGGCCAGACCGGGCCGCGTGCATCCTCAGACCCTGCACGCTGGCCCTTGTCGCGAGGCAGTTGCCTCAAGGACGCACCCGGCGGCAAGGCCGGTAGTCCTGCACACCCATACGCGTCCCCCTCATCCCCTCTCTTCCCTCCATACTCCGCCACCCCATGGCGGCCAGACTGGGCCACGTGCATCCTCAGACCCTGCACGCTGGCCCTTGTCGCGAGGCAGTTGCCTCAAGGACGCACCAGGCGGCAAGGCCGGTAGTCCTGCACACCCATACGCGTCCCCCTCATCCCCTCTCTTCCCTCCATACTCCGCCACCCCATGGCGGCCAGACTGGGCCACGTGCATCCTCAGACCCTGCACGCTGTGGCCCTGGTCGCCCGAGGCAGTTGCTCAAGGACGCACCCGGCGGCAAGGCCGGTAGTCCTGCACACTCTCACGTGCCCCTCTCACCCTCCCCGCCCCCCCCCCCGTTCCCGTCCCTCCCTCCCTCCCACCTCCTCTTCCTACTCATTCCCGTCGAGGGCTTCATTTCGAGGTTTCTATCTCGGGATTTCCACCAACCTCGAGGTGTTTTCCTGGTGGGGGGGAACCGCACCGTTCATCCTGAGGGTCGACCCGTCTGACTTTCGAGCGGGCCGCCGTATCCCCCCTAGGATGGCGATCCGACTCGCGGTGGCACAGATCCCCCCCGCCCCCCCTCAGGGTGGCGCCCCGACCTGCTGTACAGCAGGTCCCCCATCGCCGCCCTGCTGTGGAGTGAGCCCCCCGGTCACCGACAGGATCGCGATCCCTCCTCCCGTGGAGCAGGCCCACATGGCGCCACCAGGGTAGCAAGCCGTCAGACGTTATTCTGGGGGAGTCCAGCGTCTGACGTTATTCTTGGGAATCAGCGTTTGACTCTATTCTGGGGGATGCCAGCCCATCCCCTGGCCAGGCGGTGTGACACGCTTAGCGCCCTCTCACTGGCATGGTATGGCGGAGACAGGAGCTATCGTTAAGCTCCCCCGCCACACCTAACGGTGCCTCCAACGGTCCCCGCACAGGCTCTGGGTTCAAAAGGTTGGCGTCACAACCTTCACGAGCACCGTTTTCAAGGATGGGAGAGCCTGCGTGCCCCACCCGATCTGAAAGGGTTATGCCTACCCTCAAGGGCATCAGCGCTACACTACAATCCTCCTCCTCCTCCTCCTCCTCCTCTCCTCCTCCTCGTCCTCCTCCTCCTCCTCCTCGTCCTTGTCCTCCTCCTCCTCGTCCTCGCCCTCCTCCTCCTCCTCCTCCTCCTCCTCCTCCTCCTCCTCCTCCTCCTCCTCCTACTTCCTCCTCCTCCTCCTCCTCCTCCTCCTCCTCCTCCTCCTCCTCCTCCTCCTCCTCCTCCTCCCACTATAAGAAGGAACAACGACATTTAACATAAACTGTTGGCGCTCTGCGCGGATTTCTTGGATCCGCGCTGGGGCCCCCTGGCGGCGCCTCTGGCGCCGCCCTTGGCAAGCTCCGCCCGCCAGGGAGGGGGGAACCAGCGCGGATCCGAGAAATCCGCACGGAGTGGCAAGAGTTTATGTTTATTGCGTTTCTTCTTCTTCTATCCAGGGTGCCCTGGGTTTCTTGGGTTTCGATGGTTTTGCTGTGGGAAGCGTGACGTTCCCACACCAAAAGTCAACGGACGTCCTGGGGTCTCAGGGGGGTGGGTTTCTGGTGGAAGGTTTCTTGTGGTCGAGCCCCTGCTGTAGGCCTCTCGCGCCGTGGGTGCGGCGGCTTCTGCGCGTCGCTGCTTGGGCCAGAGAAGTGCCCTGGAGGCTCGTCGGGCGGACTCTGACGTTCCAGGTTCGAGGTACTCGGACGTTTTCGTCGGTTCTCAGTGGCTCTCCAGCCTCGGGATGCGTTCCAGCGGCTGCGCCTCGCCGGCATGCGTCCAGGGGTGCCTGGATCGCTCAGAAGGGCCGTCGGAGAGCCGAGCTACGACCCGAAAGCCGGGGGCAACGTTAGGAGACAATAGGCGTGATAGGCTCAGGGGGCTGAAGAAGGAGCCCTTTGCGTTCCTCAACAGTTTCGCAGTTTGCCTTCGGTGTCCCTTCGGCGTTCGATGGGGAGTCGAGGTTGGAACTCTGGAAAAAAGGGGCCTCGTTTCTTATTTAGGGTTCCTTAGGTCAACGCCCCGACTTTAGGCTCAGGGCGCACGCATCGGCCCCACATCGCCCACTCATCGCCGACGGTGGCCAAACCCCGGCAGGGAACGCGCGGGCTCGCTGTCGGGGGCCTCCGTCGCCGATCCATCGGCGCTGTCTCGCCGACTCCGGGTCGATGTGTCCCTCCTTGGGCCAGTCCCTCGTGGTCGTTGCCCCTCGGGGAAGGGGCGAGGACCAGGAGGGGAAGGAACGAGGAGGAGGAAACACGGCGAGGAGGAATATAAAGATGAGGAGGAGGAGGAGGAGGAGGA